AATAGTTAGTCGCACATAATTGTAGCTCTGTAGGTCCCCTATATCGTATTATCGTACCTATATAGATAGTCATGAAGATACATTTTCACAGAAATCGACAAATCGTATTCGTAAATATTTTATGTATAGGTAATTAGAAAATATATTTAATAATATTATTATATCATCATTATGGTAAGTATTCGAAAAACTATTCTTAGCAGAATAATATACTGTCTGTCGACCTATATAACTAAGTAGGTATAGAAGTATAGTTTATGATATTGGAGTTTAAGTAAATTATTCTACTATTCATAATTTTGATGAAAATGTTTTATCGAGGTTTAAAGATAAATGCATATGCTATACACAGACTTGAGTCAAGTTTATGATCGTCATTTAGATATAGACCTAGATTTAATCTTAAGATTCCACATGTACGTATTATTTTATATAATTTAAGTTTAGATGGTTAGGTACCTACTTTATATTATACAATAATATTTGAGAATTTCATTGTTATACGACTTATTCCACTCTACTCCACTGAAAAATATGCGTCAATAACCACTGAGACAGATATGTTTTTTATTTTTATATTGTACAATGATACAATGATAGTCATTCTTCGTATAACTAAATAATACTAAAAAGAGTATCATCATCATAACCCTAAATACATAAGATATTATAATATTGTATATACAGTCACACAGACGTTTATATTATGATACAAACATCTGTGGTCATATATTATAATTAGGTATATCTACGGTATACTCTTTTCTAACTAAACTGTTTCATCGTCTCTGACGACACCTATCGACTATCGGTCCGATGCACACAACAGCAATCTCTCTGCGTACGCCCTTGGTGACAGTCATACGTGATGAGTCGATGAGATATATATGTTTAGTATAATAATATTTTTGTGTCTTGAATAATAAATGTACCTACTTTTTCAAATACCTCTATAATATATCAATTGTATTCTTGATTAATATTAAATTTTAAGTACATCAATATTAATAAGCTTATTCCGTCTCCCTTCGTTCATCGACTACCTAGCAGGTCTGCAGTCGAATTAGGGTACGTTAATTTACTATATAATATGTACTGATGTGTGTGTACATACAATATATACACATAAGAAGGTAGTAATTTAGAGTGGAGTGGCGTAAATTGGGTGGTGAAAATGTAGCACTTGCACCACCACATTTCAAGTATACTGCGGAAAGTCAAACAAACTTTTTATGAGCGTTTGAAGTTAAAATTGTTTTGACATTGGATTTGCAGCCATATATCAAAGAATTCTCATCGAACGATTTTCTTATTTTGTTGTAATTAAAAAATGAAAAACCGTAGGGACTTGACATTTTCACACAATGTTTATTTTTTCGTTTTCTTTAGTTTATATTTTTTTATGGTTGACCGGCCCAGGTGGACTTCTCCACCTTGCTATCCGGGCCAGTCCACCCTGGTTTTATCTGATAAAATACAAGTCTAAAAATTATATAATATATATGTTATAGTCATATTATAATCTATTTTTCGTTTGATTTTATAGTACTATCTATAATAGTTTACTCAATTATAATTATAATAATAAGAAATTTACTTTTAAAAATTAAATCATCCCTCACAAATACTTGTATTTAAATACCTACACTTTCACTATGCCTACGACTAGAAAATCATAATATTTTCCTAGTTAGGTACCTTATTATTTTGTTTAGTGTTTCATAATATAAATATTGAAGATTTCCATACAGTGTTAGGCATAGCAAGATGACGTACCTATTTTAATTAGTTAATGAAACATTACACTAACGAATACAATTTCTACATTTTTTTCTTTTCAAAAATGTTATTTGAAAAATCTACTTATATTCTTATCTACTTATATTTTTTATACTAATTATTAGGTACGGTTAATACAATAGGTAAAGAATTTCCAAAGGAATTTAGAGTATTGGTGGGTACCAAAATTAAAATATTTCTCTGTACCACCAGCAATTGAGGTTAATTTACGCCACTGTTGGAGAGTGTACTATATAAATCAAGAAAAAAGGTGGGCAAGTGGATGTCGCTCTTCTGTACAGTAGGTTACAAGTGGGTCACTGTATAATGGATGGTATTAAATTTGAATTCAACAATATAATATCATTGTATAAGAAAAACGATTCTGAGCGGAGATGGTATGTCAGTCTAGGTATAAGACATTTTATATACTTATCGATGGTATTAAAAAAAAATTAGAATCTTGTTTTAAATTTTCAATCCTTAGATATAAAATTTGAACATTTTATACATTTTTAATTACAAAATAATTATTCAATTTTAAATTTGATAAATTTTGTCAAAATTCGATCATTAATTGGTTATAAACTTATAAAAAAAATGTGCCTATGTATTTTTATATTTTTCAACTGCTATTTTAACAATATATCAGGAGCCTTGTATTATTTTTTTTACACATTTTGGCCCAACAAATAAAACTTTATTGATATTCATAGAAAAAAAAATAAAAAAAATTGAAATATGAAACTCTCCGTGAATTGTAAATACATTATATAATATAATTACATATAAATTGTACTACCTTTCATATGAGTATCTGAAATTCCTGAATTACAGAAAAACACAATGACTCGGTAATATTATTTTTTTCGTTTTAATATAGGAGAATCAACATTATTTTAAGAGGACGCCACACCCGCATGTGTTGTCTCCGTCTTACAAATGTACAACATAGCAAAAACTCTTTTGCGAGGGACAACTTTTCTCGCACCATATTTGTTGTAGAACTACCAAATTTTCACAGCATTTAAAGAAGAACTTTATCTGTGAAACAGCCTTCCCATATTTTAAATAACATATATACAATACAAGTTATTTGCTTCTAAACATTTGGTTTTTTCATTTGCTTATAAAAAATGATTGGATGGTGCTATTGAAAAAAGAGCAAGCTGTTGCACAGATAAAGTTCTTCTTTAAATGCTGTGAAAATTTGGTAGTTCTACAACAAATATGGTGCGAAAAAAGTTGTCCCGCGCAAAACAGTTTTTGCTATGTTGTACATTTGTAAGACGGAGACAACACATGCGGGTGTGGCGTCCTCTTAAGGAATTTACAATTATTTTATTTCTAAATCATTTGGAAGTTCATAAAAGGGCATTGTTACTCAAATAGCAGAATAATAACAATATTGTAATTATTATAAATATTATTATAATCATATTATTTAATAGTTGATAATATACATATCATAACTTCGAAGGTTTGCAAATTACGTACGTTTTTGAAGTACTATTATTGTGTATTGTGTTTATTTGGGTATATATTAACTGTTGATAGACCAGTAGACCAAAACCTATTTTTACTCAGGTAATGTAGAGTGTAGCATATTATGGCCTTACATTATTGCCAAGTAAAAGAAAACGATGATTGCACTGGCGAGACATCAAGTATAACTGTTACATAAAAATATACAGCAATGCTCATGTATTTAGGTATATTTGTATATACTGGGGTGATATTTTATATTTAAACACTAAGTATATATTCTGTTATTTGACATCATCAGTAAAAAATATACTTTTATATACATGATATTATAAATGATAATAATAAAATTTCAGCTATTTGTGAATATATTCTACCACATGTACATGGTATATGGCATCCTATAAAATCAGATTACAAGATTTTTGTACGATTAAGAAGCTGTAGTTAAAACCAACGTTCTAGATAAGGTAAAATCATTTAATGGTAAGATATAGTTACAATACTCGTACATTGATTACATACAATGATTTTTAATTTTTATTCTTAATGATAACAGTTGCATAGTGGTCATTAATACATTTTTTGTCTATATTATGGAAAAAATTAAATAATATCAATTATAAGTACAGTAAAAATTTTTTAAAAAAAGGCAATATAAGCTTATACATTGATTTACAATTTAAGTTTAAACATTAAAAAATATTTAAAAATAAAACATTGAAATTTATTTAAGCTATACAAAAACAAAAATAACTTTATAGTAAGAAATAGTCACAATATATTGAATGTAGAGATTACATACATTTATTTACGAAAGAATTTGTAATATTGTTCTTATAAACAAAGCTTATTTACAAGTAACTCTCTAATATAATAGAATGTCCAATATAAATTATACTGAATTATACATTAAACAAATAATAAAAATATATATTTAAAGCACAAGAATAAAAATGTGATCAGAATTATTAATCATATTTTGTTCTGTTCACCCTATAACACACATCTATTTTATGAAAATTTGTGTGCGAATTTTAAAAGATAACATAAATGAATGTTTTACAGACTTAATGAATAATAATATTGAATGCACTTTGAATCGTACAGAATAAAAGTCATACAAATGTGTTAATTGTAATATATAATACTGTGTTGATTTAAAGTTGATAAAATTATTTATTAAAAAGGCTTAATTATAGTTAAATGGCTTGTTTCAATGAAACATGGGCTTAATGGATACTTTTGTGATAACTTAAAATTTATGCTTGAAAAATTAATTAATTACGAACAATTCATTTGTATGGCTATTCTCCGGTATAAATCCTAATGAGAGTTATGATAACCTAGCATAACTCACATTAAGACTAATTCATACCGGAGAAAAACCATATAAATGATTAATTTTTAATTAATACACTGCATTGAATTAATTTTGATACTTGAGAAAAATACTTCATAAAAATAATTGTTTGACCTTGTAATTTTTGATTCAATAAATAACGGGATACCAGATTGCTATATAACTGATAATTGATTAAAAGTCGATGCTTGAGAAAATGATTTATTAATAAGAACTCATATGCATGGTTGAACTCCCGTATAAATTCTAATATTGTTTATTCCACTATCTTAATATAACTCATTTATGGGCGGTGTGGATCTACACGATGTGTTGGTTGAATAATATTAAAGTAAGACGATTTTACCTACATATAATTTATCATTTAATTGACATGTGTGTTGTCAATGCTTGGCTCTTGTATCGGAGGCACTGTAGGCAACTTAAGATAAAAAAGACCACAAGTTTATTGAAATTTAAATCAGAAATAGCAGATGCTTTATTGCAAGCTGGTAAATATAAATTGAATAAAAGAGGAAGACCATCATTGTCAACTACACCACCAACTAAAAAAAGATTATTTGCTCCAAGGCCAGTAGATGATGTTAAGTTTGATGAAGTAGCTCATTGGCCTCTTTCAGTTACAAAAAAAGCAACGATGCAAGCACTGTATAAAAAGTTATACTACAAACACATGCAGGAAGTGTAATTTACACTTATGTTCAAAAGTTGAAAAAATGTGTTTTATTGCTTTTCATAAAAAATTGTAACTTTTTGTGATAATTATTATACTTTTTACTACCTATCGAGACTGATAAAGAGATAACTATTAAAATTTGTTTTAACCCTTAACTACCGACGTGCGGTCTGTCAGACCGCTCAAATATTTGTTTACAATTTACTATTTATACAGTGTTGTAAATTTATATAATAATTTTCAGCTTATTGTTAAATTATGTTAATGGCTATGAAATGTAATGGGTCGATAAGTTTATGGTCGACACAAATATTTAATATAAACACATCCTTCATATGGATTATCTCCCGTATAAATTCTAATGGAAGTTTGTTAACCTAACAAACTTACATTAGAACCAACATTTCATACGGGAGAAAAACCATACAAATGATTTATTTATAATAAATAATAGGATGTTGATTCTAACGATTTGTTTATAATACTTGGTAGGATGTTGAGTCATACCTTATGAAAGAGAAAACTCGATTTTACCATAAAATATAATAATATATAATAATTTTCAGCTTATTGTTTAAATATGTTAATAGCTATGAATAATCGTGGGTCAATAAGTTAATGATCGAGACAAATATTTAATATAAATAGATGAGCTATTACAAACTCAAAAAATGCATTTTATATCTGAAGTCAGAAATAAATTGGCATTTCAATTACTATTAGGTACTGCAGTCACTAATGCATTAGTTTTATATAAAGAAACTACTCATGAGCAGATACAAATATCAGAATTTAGACTAGAACTTATAAAGGAGTTATTAGACAATCCAATACAAAGTTCACCTTTGTCTAGTTCTAAGAAACATAAATTAGTTTGTGAAACTGAGACAACGAATAACAGAAACAAACGTCGTAGATGCAATAAGTGTTATGTAAATCTTAGTAAAGAGTTTGGGAGGGTACACGCACAAAAAAAAATGCAAACAAGTAAGCACATACTGTGTTACTTGTGAAAGTAAACCTTTTTTTTTTTATTGAGTGTTTTCAAAACTTCCATTCTAAGTAGGTAATATACTAATATACACAACTTAAACACCATGTATAATTTTTTTTTGAAGTGCTATTAATTAAATATTTTTAAAAAAGTGAATTTAATTTTGTTTATTTTTTTATTCTAAAATAAAAAACCTCAACGTTATACTATTTTTATTATTAACTCAAAGACTGAGTACTTGATTATAATTATTTTTAATATTATTACATTATTACATTTTATATTTATAATGTTATGTTATTGATTTTTTTTTTGTATTAAAATTGCTTAGAATAAACAGCTTATAAAAGCTTATACTTTAAATAGTACAAAAAAATCCTAATTTTTTTCTAAAACTGTTATTTTTATTATTAACTCAAATACTGAGTACTTTATTATAATTATTTTTAATATTATTACATTATTAAAATTTATTTTATTTGTTCTCAATTTTTATATTTAAAATGTTATGTTATCTATTAAATAATTTATAATAAACAGCATATACTTTTAATAAAAATAAAATAAGATATTAAAAAAATTGTTTTATTTCATTTGAGTATAACATTATGATAATTTTTTAATTTTACAAAGAAAAATATCATACATAGGTAAATAGTTTTTGAAATAACATTTTTTGAAATCAATTAAATATTTTGATTTGTGCCAAATGGTCGAATAAATATGAGACATCGGTGAATCTTAACATATATTTACAATTCAATTTATTCCTTGTGTACCATGAGAGTCACCTGTACCTCTCAATAAGAAAATTATATATTCATTAAATTTATGACATTTTAAACATATTTTATACTTGACATTTTTTTCCTATGAAAAATGGTTCCAAAGATATAGCCTTGGTACACAGGAAACGTTTTTTAAAAAAGGCTATGGTACAGCTGTAAATACATGGTGTGAGCTATACGGATGCTACTCATGGTATACAATAAAATATTATTAAAATCGGGCCTGGTAGCCAACGTTTTTTAATGGTCGAGACAAATATTTAATACAAACACATCATTCATATGGATTATCTCCCGTATAAATTCTAATGGAAGTTTGTTAACCTAACAAACTTACATTAGAACCAAAATTTCATACGGGAGAAAAACCATACAAATGATTTATTTATAATAAATAGTAGGATGTTGACTCATAGCTTATGAAAGAGAAAAATTGTTTTTACCATAAAATATATATAATAATTTTTAGCTTATTGTTTAAATTTGTTAATAGCTATGAATAATCCTGGGTCGATAAGTTAATGGTCGAGACAAATATTTAATATAAACACATCATTCATATGGATTATCTCCCGTATAAATTCTAATGGAAGTTTGATAACCTAGCAAACTTGCATTAGAACCAAATTGTCATACGGGAGAAAAGCCATACAAATGATTTATTTATAATAAATAGTAAAATATTCACTTTAATTTGTTGCTTGTTTTTGAGCATTTTGATGAATAAAGTTAACTGTTATGATAACTGATAGGTTGGGTTTAAGTTTAGACGTAAAAATGACTTCTAGAACGTTAAAAATGTTGATTTAAATAACATAAAATAGGGTGGAGTCACCATCTATGGCCAAATTAATGAATCACTTCGTTTGAGTATAAAGGTTCTAACTAAAAATTTGAAAAAAACTAACTTGCTTTTAAAACAAACACAGAAAACTACAACCAAACAAATCAAATTGCTCTCTTTAAATAAAAGTCAAACCATTGAAAATCAAGCCAAGAAATATTTGTCATCTATATTTTCTGCAAACCAGTTGAATTTAATAATGAAAAAAAAGAAAAGGGTCCATTGGACAAGAGCTGAAATTTCAAAAGCCTTCACTCTTAGGTATTTCAGTAAAAGAGCATATGTCTATGTCAAAAATGAACTGCATTATCCTCTACCTGGTAAATAATTTTTTATTTTATACTCATTGAACCATTATACTTAGTTAAAAAATGTTTGTATTAATTTTAAATTGATTTTAGGACTTTCTTCTCTTCAGAGGTGGGCCAAAAGCATAGAAATGAGGAATGGTGTTCTTCATGATGTACTAAATCTAATGAAACTCAATGGTGAAGTATTGAATAATTCTGAAAAGCTTACAGTATTAATGTTTGATGAAGTCAAAAAACACTTTATGCATTTGAATTTCTTAAAAAACAATTTCCCAGTAAAGTATCCTTTAATCAAAATACAACCGAAAAACATGTAATTGTCAATTTTTCATGGCAATGAGATTACCATGCTGTCATATATTTGAATATCGACGAAAATCAAGTTTTCCTTTGTATGATTCAACGCTATGTGATAAACGATGGTCAAGAGAATTCTACTACAGATCACAAAGAGCTTTAAAAACAGCCATAGTCAATTCTGAATGTAATGAACAATATGATGTCGAAATAAATGTTGAACCACGTATAGAACAGATTAAATCAAAAAAACCGAAAAGTAGTCATGAGAAATGTCGAAAGGTTAGGTTTTGATTCCTATATGAGTCCAACATCAGCACAATTAACAACAATTAGTTTAGAATCAACAACAATGAACAATTCCAGTACATCCTGTCAATTAGAAAACCAACCATCCACAAGTCATGATACTCCTAATACTTTAATTTTACCAACGCGACGATCATTAACATCAGTATTTGAGGATGTAATTAAATGGCCAGTACAGCAGGTATCAAAATCAAAAAGAAAAAGAGAATATACACCAAGTGTCATAACATCAGACAGGTGGGTACAATTTCGTGAATTAAAAGAAGCAGACAAATTAAAAAAAGATGAGGAAAGAGAAAATAAAAGGAAAGCCATACAAGACAGAAAAAGGGTAGCTGAAGAAAAAAAAAGGGTAAAGATATTAAAAAAGAAAATACCAATTGATTCAGATAGTGAACACTCCCCCCCCCCCGACGGGACCCACCTTGACGTGGTGGGGGGGCTCACCGATTCCATTCGGTGCTAAGAGGTACCCAACTCTCCGGCTCTGACTTTGACTAGTCGGGGTCGGAGCCTCCCGAGCCGCCACGACCTTAACCGGTTGGGGTGGCAGGTACGGTACCACCTGCTAACGCTAGCAAACGGACCCAGAAGGAAACTGTAAACCAGGCCTATTCGAGAAATTTTAAGACTGTTTAATACAATATCAAATTAAAGACTGTTAGGTTTAGCAAAGAAACAATGTTCCTGACTAAAAAGTATATACCTAACTTCAATTAACTATTTTTAATAGCTAGGTTTGCTACATAATGTTTTATTTTATTGTTAATTTAATTTAGTATTTCGCTACTGATTTGGCAACAACTCGTATCTGACATTTTTTTCAAAATTGACGTTTTGGTATCATTGGATTCGTATTTTCAAGGAGAATATAATTTAATTGAGGTTAGTTTAACGTACTATCGTTTATTTCCCGCTAAAATATGTTTGAGTGATACCACGTTTCAAATATTTGATTTTAAAACCACGTAACTGCAAATCAGATATTATGTTAAAATAACAGTACAATACTGCCATTATAGGCATTAATGCCTTTTTTAAACATTAATCTGTCGACTGAATTTTAAGTTAATAGGTAAGTACTATATTAATTGTATGTTTTATTTTCGAAATGATAGATTTCATAATAAAATAGTGTACACTGCATGACATTCTATTTATTGTTGTTTTATGTACAATGCACCTAGATCAATATGACGTCGAAGAAACGAGCACATGCAATGGTCAATTTAGTTAAAAATCCTAGTCAACCTGCACAATATAATAAACTATTTGAAGATAATCCCCCTGTGAAAAGTGACGAGTTTATGACATCTTTTATTAAAGATAATGACATCAAAAATACTACAGTTAAAGGTAAAAATATTATTTTATTATCTACCATCATAAAGTTTATACATTTTAGCATAATATTATATAGTTTAATTGAAGACAGAATACCTATTAATAATTTCTTTTTTTAGTTGCCTGTTTTAATGTAGACATTGAAGGATTTGAAACGTTTGGCATTTTACAAAATGATACAGATAAAAGTAAAAATATTATTGTATTACATACTCTGATATTATTTATACATTTTAGCATTATATAGAAATTAATTGAGGGCATTTTATTTTTATTTTTAGTTTCTTGTTTGGATATAGACATTGATGCTATTGAAACGTTTGAAATTGTACAAACTGGTACTGGTACAACTAGCAATAATGATGGTGATTGTAACACAATTAATATTTTACAAACTTCAACAGCTGAGCTAACTGAAGGTAATGTTTTAACAAACAAAATTAAAATAACTATGACTATTGTATATTGTGTAGATAATGATTTATTTTGATTGTTAGTTTCTTACACAGATTTGAATGTAGATGATATTGAAATGAATAGTGATATTACAAATGACCCAAGTAATAAGAAAAATTTAAAGAAACGTCCTACTGCAATGGAAAATAGAATGTTTGGCCAGAATGTAGTATTGTTTTTGTTAAAAATATTAATTTTTATGTTTTAGTTTGTTTATTTTATAATGTTAAACTGTTATCTATATTAATATATATGGCCTAAGTAAACATGTTAAACCTATTTGAAAATGTAAAGACTGTTACGTTTAACAAAGACTGTTCCTAGCAACAAAGCATATAATTATATTACTATTTTTAATTCCAAAATTTGGTACATAATACCTATTATTCATTATTAATATTTAAAAATTTGTTAACTATATTAGGGGAGTCGGGTAATTTGGAACACCGCTTTAATTGGACCACTCGCTTATCTCTCCTCGTAATGATAAGAAATTGTTCAAATCGAGTAACACATGTTCTCTGTACCATTAGAACGTCTTTGGAGTAATCAGTCACGTTCTTATCATTTATCACTTGGACTATCAACACATTATTCAAAATACGAGTTTTTGATGTTATTTTCCACACAGTTTTGCTAAGCAATAATATAACGAATTTTAAGTGTACATAATTTTGATCTATTATAATTTTTTTTCATAATTTAGTTCAAATTTGAATGATGTAGTTGTTTAAAACTAAACTTTGCTGTTGTTAAGTAAGTAAACATTTTTTCGTAAAGTTATAAAGTTGTTTATTTTGGACCACCAACTGTCACCTAATTTGGACCACTTTTTTATTACAGATTTCAAATTTAAAAATTGTGTCTATTTGAATTATAATGTCAAAAAGAGGAAAATACGGCCAGTGGTCTGAACAGGATCTACAATTAGCAGTTGCTGCCTACAGAAATGGGGATTATGGTTTGAACAAAAGTGCACAAATATACAATGTTCCCAAAGCTACTCTTAAGAGACATGCAGATGGTAAAAACTTTTTATATTAAAAAAAATAATAATTCAGACAACATGAATGAGGAAGAAATAGGTGTATTACTCGCAAACTGGGACGTTAGTGAAGATGAGCTCGAGAATTCAGATGATGAAAATCTTATTGAAGACGAAAATCTTGTTGATGATAATGAAAATTATTTAGACATTGAAAACCTTCCAGTAGAGTTTGTAACTGATGAAGGTAATCAATATTTTATAATTCCTGAAACTGCACAAACACCTACAGTAAATCAATCTCCTAGTCCAGTAAGGCAAATTCGTCCTCAAGCAAGTCAATCCCGTATTCCAGTTAGACAAACACCTCGTCCAGTGGATATCAAAAATATGAAGTGGAAAAAAGGAAGTTTGATATTTGATGAAAATACAAGACCACATTCTAATGTACCTCTACCTGACAATATATCTCAATTATCTACTCCTTTACAATTTTTTTCTCTATTTTTTACTGACGAATTATACACAAATATTCAAAAACAAACTGAATTGTTCTCCGTCCAGAAAAATCCAAATAAACCTATTCATGTTACCATACCTGAGTTAAAAAGATATGTGGGTATATGTGTTTATTCCTCTGTTATTCAAGTTCCTAAAGTAAGGGATTATTGGAGCACACATTTAGGTTTTGCCCCTATATACAATGCTCTAAGTCAAAAACGCTTTGAAGCAATTCGGGCAGTCTTACATTTCAACAATAATGAAGATATGTTACCAAGAGCTGACCCTAATTATGATCGACTTTTTAAACTGAGACCGCTCGTCAGTTATTTGAACAATCAATTTGGTAAAATACCCTATTCAAGGGACCTATCGTTAGATGAACAAATGTGTTCAACTAAAGCAAGAAATATTTTAAAACAGTACATGCCCAATAAACCCCATAAGTGGGGTTACAAACTGTTTGTACTATGCAATTATAAAGGATACTCATATAATCTAGAAGTGTATACAGGGCAGGAAAATTATCCCAAATTTAATGACATTGATATTGGTGCTAGTGGTAATGTGGTAATTCGCTTGACTAAAAATGTTCCAAATAATAAAAACCATAGGCTTTATTTTGACAATTATTATACATCAGTGCCATTGATGGAACATCTTTATGATAGAGGTATATTAGGCCTGGGTACTGTGGTGACTTCGGCGCTTATCACCACTTTGCTCTCACCGACCGAGTTACCACCCGCTCCGCGGTACCAACCATTTTATATTGACATTTGTGATTTATTTTATATTCGTTTTATTTATACAACTTCTGTGATTTTTATATATTTATGTTCCCACGCTAATCGATCTCGCGTCTCCGATTGGCGACGCCATCTCTGTCGTCCCCGACGCTCACGACGCGGCCGTCCGACCGGCCGGCATCGTTCTCTTTGCCCACCGCCCTCGACCGAGCCACACGTACCGAGTATTTCGCTCCCGACCCGACGCCATGTTTCGACAACCGACGAGCCGTGTTACACTTACACGACCCATAGGGTCCCCGTACACGACCGCTCGCCACGGCCACCGAAATCATGCCCGACTCGCCTACGTACCGACGCTCGCTCGACCGCGCGCGCATTGAGCACACACCCGATACCGTCGACCTGAACGACCATGCGCTCGACCCCAAATCGTACCCTCTATCGTCGTACTGCGTACGACCACATAATTATATTTTGGTGTCTAACAATAAACGACTTTCGACGCAACCGCGTCAATCAACGACATTGTGTGTTCCTTTCATTTCAAATACCTAAACTTGTGTACCTAACCTCTCTGCGACGGAGTCCAGAACGAACGCATGTTGATACAGTGCGGGGCAACCCCACTTGTACCACAGTACTGTTCGGCGAAATAGAGTTCCAAATAATCAAC